CATTTTGTCAGCGCGCTGCGGCGGTTATGTTAGGTTGGGTTATCATAATAGAAAGTACTCGTCTGGTATCGTTCGATTCATAACGAAGCGAGGAAAGTCCTACACACATAATATTTACGATAACCCAACCTAACATAACCGCCGCAGCGCGCTGACAAAATGTGGCCTCCGTTTAATCCATAAGTACCGAAGAATTTTTAGTTATGTTTTATGAAGTTATTGATTTTTGAGTTGCCAATAATTATTAGGCCAAGTTTTATTTAAAGTACTTTTGAGTTTGGCCTACCAAGTTTTTAATTTTTATCTGGTCAAGTGAAGAATCACCAATTTTTAGTTGTGGCGAGTGTGATATATTTTAAAGTTATATGCACTAGCAGAAAGTAGTGCTATTTAGTTTGTGTGTGTGGCTGCACTGCCAACGCAATGACGTCACAGCTGATGTCTCTGAACCGGCCTCAGTTCTACGTTATCTACCAGGTTAGTCGCAGTCTATTTATATGGTGCGGTTCTTTTAACTAGTAGTGATAGAACATAATAATAAGTATATTTTCTAAGTACAACTTTCTTAAGTATTTTTCTGCTTTTGCATAACAATACTGACAATAAACTGAGTAAATGTGGTTATATCCACAATATGCAAGTAAAGGTTTAATGAATGTCTTATAAACAATTTTAACTGATGTTTCGAATGAAAATTATAACACAAGTCACGAACATACACAATGTTATTTCTCCATACAGTCCCTGTAGAGTTACATACTCAATTGCTACACAAATAACAACTTGCTTCAAACCAAACTTTCCACTCTTTAATATTCAACTGGGTGCTAACAAAACTTAGTTTTTTATGTTTTGTTTGTGGAATAAAATACACTGAGTGATCTATAACTAATCAAACTCCTCGAAGTATTGTATTTTAGATTGTTGTGGGATTAATTCCATCCCTTGCGAATGAAGATTGGCCTACAGCTCCTCTTGATCGATTTTCAATTAAAGCACCACAGCTCAATCTAATTTATTTATAACTCTTATTAGAAGAAAAGAAATAAATAATTTTACATGAAGTTTACATCTAAAATGATTGTTTTTGATAATAAACACACTTGTAATTCGATTCGGTCCCATTGGACGTATTGTAGCCTAAACACATTACACCATGTGCAATCTATAGCAGCGTGTGTCAGTTCCTGTAATGATATAATCTACAACTAGTGACAGGACATAATTGTCGACACGTCATGGACTCATCGCCGCTTCCCTAGCAAAGTATGTCAGCATTATTGGTGATAGTCGTCAGTACTAATTTTAACTTTTTATTGGGATCAAATTTTGTTTCGTTGTCAGGTCGTAAAATAAGGAAATTGGTCGTCATAGATAGATTTGTCCTATTGCATGTTTGAACAATTTATTTCCCATTCATTTTGGGAGCTAGTTGGTGTAGTCAGAGTGTTGGGCTTCGGCCCCTAAGACTCCAGGATCAAATCACGGAAATCAATAGTGGATTTTTGCTATAAAAATCATTTTTAATGCCGCATTCCTCTAATTGTGCCTAGTTTCAAGTAATTTGTTAAATGGTTTTGGACTAGAAAATAGCACCTAAGACGTGTAGGCATAAAAGTACAGATTTATTTCATGTTCCTTATTAAAGAAACAATATTTTTTAAGTATCGTCGGAAAAGCTATAATTAATTATTACATTGGATGCAGTAACAATCGATCAATGTTGTATACTATAATAATGATTGATGATTCATTTTAATTTCAGGCGGTAAATAGATGTAAAATAATTGTATAATAAAAAAGCTGTATCCATATATAAATAAAGATAAAAATCTTCAATTTCCTTAAAATTTTCAAAGTTTCCCTACAATATAAATCACTGCTTGTACATTAAATTTCCCATATTAGTAATACAAAGTTACACACCAAAAATATGCTTCAATACCACCGAGTATAAAGTATGTAGCCTCCTTCATTTTTATGGTTATGTCCAGATAACAGTCTGTGGTTGTAGATGACGTCATTAAGGGACTTGACAGTTGCTGTTATAGCTACTTTGACACGTATTATATCTAACTTCATTACATCCACTACAACAATCTATCTATAGCTACTCTGATAATATTTAAGCGAGTTTAACAATGATTCAGGGAGTTCATTACGACAAATTATTGTACTTCGAGTCGATTTGATATTTATGATGATTATGTTTTCGAGAAACATGTGACAATATGAGGAACAAGCATTTAGCATAACAGTAAAATGTAATGTCTTAAAAAAAATTTTAGCTACAAATTTCGAAGGTTAATGTGTACTTGAAATACAAATGTTTATTTATGGTTATTTATGGTTGTTTTTTATGTTGATTCAGTAATGTTCTGTTTTTTGTTGTTTTTATTTTAGAAAATTGTAATTACGTATTTATAAATCTGCGTACGGTATTGATTATAATTATTGTATTGAAATGGAAAATAGGTCATCCAATTGTAAAAGTTGTAAAAAAAAAAAAAAATTATGTTGTATATAAACGACAGTTCATCACTAGTTTTGTTATGTAATATTAAAAATTTTACAAATTAAGTGTTGTGTGAACCAAAATTATACCAAAGACACCATAACTGAGTCAATTTTAAATCATTTATAAGGAAATAGAAAACGTAAAAACATAATTTTCTCAAGGAGAACGCATGAATACAGTAATCGTACACGATGTTGTGAAGACAAAGTTTATAAATGAAGCTGGCCCTGACCCGCCACAAGGCAGATGTAATTGAGTGAGATGATTGCACAGCATGTAGCCTAGACAGCGCAAGACACTTCTCTTGTATGTCTCCGACTTGGTACTATTTTTATGTATCGAGCATTGGTTTGAAACATATACTTTTCATTGAATAATTTTAAACCTTTTGAAAAGAAAAAACTGCGAATTTAGTTGTAAGAAAGATAAATACTGAGGGGAATTACTTTAGGCATTCAACTACAGTACTAAGGAAACAGCGTAGATAAAAAACCGCTTGGTACTTAAACACTCTTTCGTCTCTTTGTTGGAACTGTGTGAACCTATTTAATCTCAAATCAGAGTTTTTTGGATGTTAGTTTTCTGTTGAATTGCATTTCAAATTGACTAAGCTTTTGAAATTTGTTTGTCTTGTAAAAACTTGCCTGTAAATAATAGTCTAATCAATTAATTATTTTATTAATTTGACAAACTATATTACACCAACCGTAAATTATATGTTACCGTTACAGCAGTTTGACATAGACATTAAACCGATCGCGTTTTTCTTTCAAATAAATAGGAGCCAGAGAATTCCGCATCGAATCATCATCAAGAAAACTTACTGATTTATTTGGAACTGGATTACTTGAAAGTTTCAACAAAGAACCAAAGAAAGACACTTTTAAAGCAGATTATAAACTTTAAGCCACGTTTCACGACAACTGAATATTTCATAAAGAGATTGGACAATGATCTGTGTACTACATTGAATGATCTGTGTATTACGTGATTGTTTGAGTTAAACTTTATTTGTTATTTACTACGTGTATGGCTTTATTTTTAATTTACCGTAGATTTAAATAAGTCTTTTGAAGTAAGCAAACCTGAGGTATAAAATGCCAAATTTGACTTTGGCTATTTATGCTGTTAGCCTTTACTTACCACTGTGTTGCCGGGATAGGTTGTGAAATATGGATTTCTGGCATTTAGATGTATCAGCGTAAATAAGGCATAACAATATTCTATGTTAATTCTATTGAACATGTTTCATAGATTTCTTCATTTTGATACTGTTTTTATAACATGACTTGTGTAGGTCTCCAGACTGAACGTTATGGCGTAAATGCAATCATGTCTTAAGAAAAATAATAAATTGTCATTTTGTCAGCTATAAATAATTTATGTCGTTATCTACCTTTTTTGGTACTTTCCTGTTAAAGGGAACATCCATTATTATCGATGATTTATTTTCGATATATCTATAGTTTTGTTTTCCATCCGATATATTGATAGTAACAAATTGAAACATATCAGCTGACAAGTACGATATAGGATACAGTAAATAAATATTGTTCAGTATCAATAAACAATAAAAAAAAAAAATTAGCCTATATTAAAATGAAACTGTTCTAAACCAACCTAACCAACCAAACTTGCTGTAACATTTCAAAAATCTGGTTGATAGCCTATTCCCCATATGCATTTTCTCTTCTGTTATCAAATGGAATTTTGAAACGGTAACTTAGCCTATACAGCAAGTTTGGTTAGTTATGTTAGGTTAGTTTAGAATAGTTCCATGTCCTAATCCAATATATAGGCTATTTTTTTTGCCTAGACAAGGTTAGTTCCTAATTTGTAATTTAAATGCGTTTGAAGATATTAAGACAGAAGGAATACCAATCGTGAAGTAAAACAAAAATATCGATATATCGAAAATAAATCAGCGATAATAATGAATGTTCCCTTTAACAGGAAAGTACCGAATAGGGACAGCAATTAAACAGCTGATTACGATTGAATATAATCTAACATACTCTCTTGTCATGGTAGGTATTTTGATACTGAAGTAGACGAGTATACTCCCACGTTTGTGGTACAGATCCAGCCGTTTAGTTACTTAAAGAGGATATAGTTAATGAGCTTATCATGGGGGTTAAATACTATTTTATCCTATACATTTTTCTAACTGCGGAAATTGCTTTAGTCATCAACATGGTATCATAGATAAAACATAGTGTTGGTTAGTCTATGATGGTATCCTGTCAGACGTGATTCATTTCATAGTTGGATTATAAAGTAATTGAAATAGAATTATTTATCAGAACACTTTTAGTATTTTTTTTTTTCAAATAAGCTTTTTCTTTTCTATTGAACCGGCCACAATCTTAACTTAGGAATGAAATATCTTATTTACTGTGGTATCTGTAGTTATTGCCGACCTTTGTCATTATACAAACCTTTGCCCTATTTTGTGTATAAACACTCCTAGCGAGTAACTCACCGCTAAATGATCGGCAACACTCTGTAGTGAGGACGAGGAAGGCTGAGATTCGTCACCTAGAGTTCCGACCACTGCCGCTAGTAGCGCTAGAAGCAGCATCCATATGCTTCCACCATGCTGCATCCTCTCTGAAACCCAACATTACTTGGTTATTTCCAATTCCATCTACTGCAACTACAGATAGTAGCATCATAAATATGTTTTCCCCTTGCTGCAGCATCCCTGTAACACAAAAATGATTTGTATACTGCTTATTCCATACACAGCCGCTAGTAGCGCTAGAAGCAGCATCCATATGCTTCCACCATGCTGCATCCTCTCTGAAACATAACATTACTTGGTTATTTCCAATTCCATCTACTGCAACTACAGATAGTAGTATCATAAATATGTTTCCCCTTGCTGCAGCATCCCTGTAACACAAAAATGATTTGTATACTGCTTATTCCATACACAGCCGCTAGTAGCGCTAAGGGTAGCATTCATATTCTTCCTTGCTTTGTCTCATTTCAATTCTGTAACAATCATGGCTTGGTTATCTCTAGTTCCTACCACTTACGCTGTAAGTGCTATACACTTCATTTATACAGTTACACCTGCTGTCATGCTTACTAAAACACAAAATCGTTTGTTTTTCTTTATTTTAATGCTCTCTCTTGGTTCAATATTACAGTACTAGCTGTTTCACGATTCCCTGTATCATTACAAACCTTCACTCATACATTTAAGCTCAATATTTGTACCCTGACTCCTGAACTGGAATGCTCAAATAATTTTTTTCCTGTCCAGAAATAGCATATCGGATACACTGATACGGTTGGTACGGTGCGTCAACTGTTTGCAGGTAGAAAGACTTAATAAGATCTTTCTACATGACAAACTAATAAATTCTAAGTAAAAGAAAGATTATTTATATTGGCCAGATATAGTTTGCATTAATTTAAGACAGGAGTATTGAAATATGAGAAAAGTGTCAAAGTAAAGAAAAAATGTAAAAATGATTACGATATCTGAACGGATTGACAGCGATAATCGAACCTAGTCAAACATTTGTGATTGATTGATTGTTGTCTCTACACAGCCTGAGACAGGTTCATTAGCTTAGGTAATAATCTCACACCTGGCGAGCAGACGTCTGCTGTGAACGTCTGAAACTGAGTGTGATAATAGTCTTGCACAAGCTGCAATACGATTACTATAGCGTATAGTAACCGTCCGATAAATAATATAATACAAATGACCCAGCGTGTTGTAAACGCTCGATTAACTATGAAATACAATTGATTAGTGTTTCGTAATAGTCAGATAATTAAATATTATGCAAAGAATAAGTGTAACAAAAGTCCGACGCGTGTTATAATACTACAAGTGGAATTGCATGACGTAACAGTTCAATGAATAATAATCTATGTAGAGCGAATCGAGATAGTGCATAACAATAGTGATGTGTACATAAAGTACAGCAATAACATTATCAATTATCAATAAGGAGATTAGGCCAGTAATTTATTGATTAAAAACATTTACCTGGATAAAAATATACTGTGATGCTATAGCAGCTGTAAAAGTAAATATTTATATGTTACCTAATAGGTTGTGCTCTGAAGAATTTAAACGTATAATTAAACTTGTACATATTAATAATATGTATTTTAGGTCTAGACAAAAGTTAACATATAAAAAAATCTTGGATATGCCAGTAATTGAACTTTACAACATAACAAATGTTTGTTCTGGACTAATCCTGTTTTAGGACTACTTCTACAACCTGATTCGTCTAGATTGAAAATCATACTTGGCTTGTTCAGAATGTCATCAACTTTTTCATCTTATAAAAATAACGCAAGTTCTTTGGCCTATCCTTTTAACTTCTCCTCAGTAGCCTGTGCTCAGCCTCTATTAATTACCTCAGCGTGGCATTGTGTTAGACTAGGGTGTCTTTTGAGGAAACTCGTTATCCATGAATATCCTGGTTTGTTATTGGGGAAGGGAGTGGGTCTGTGGTCTTCAGTGACATTATTTTGAACTGTCTCGATTAATGATCTACTATTTAGAGGGAACCACATTTGCATTAGCAACTGTGTATCTACATAATATGTCTTCCTCTGTGGTTAAAAGCACGGTAGAAGGTCCCTTTTCCTTATGTTCAGGAGTTTTTTCTTTTACTTTATACTGCAGAGTAGAAAATTTGGTTGCTTATTTAACTATCTCATTAATACATTAATACTTTAATACTTTTCAATGAAATGGTGACCATATCGCATGAATATCGCACAGAGATGACCATCTGGATCTCCATCATCCGTTGATTTTCATTTAGCCGGGTCATTTCCGCAAAATTTTAGAAAATGAGGCTTTAACTAGTTTATACTGCATATATGTGATCAATTACTAGCTATGAATGGATATCCAGTAATTTATCAATTTCTGGCTGAGGGTCCATTTTCTTAATCAGTAATTATAAAGTGACCTAAGTAATAACATACATGTAACTTTCAATAACCAATTGACTAGAACGTAAGAACATCTTTCAAACATCAAAAATAACTCACTTTAGTTTTATTTGATCAGTTGTTAACTGTTTTATTAAGACTTAAAACTCACATATGCATGAAGCAGCTCTTCTTAGTATTAAGGTGCATAATTGGAAGTATAGTTAAGATAAAAAAAATCACACAAAAACCCTGAAAAAATTGGAGAATGCACAACATATGATTTGTACACCATCCGAGCATTACACTGGGGAGGGGAGTATTCACTCATACCACCACAACAAACCTTATTATAACCTAAAACTAAGCAGGATGATCTATTACTGGCAAATCACTTAGTGCGAAGCATTAGCCCAGCCATAAGTTGATATAAAATTATGTTAATCTATTAAATAAATCCGATATATAGTTTTAACTATAAATTTAAATTTAAATTTCAAAAATTGAACTGAGTCCAACAGCATTTTTAGTTGACAACAGTAATGTAAAATAATACTAACATTGTTGACACAATTGATTCAATATAATTATGAATGATTAATTAAACTTGTTCGACGTTCATATTTAATTTCATTATTTCAGTTGGCATGTCGTGAACGTTAGGCCTATGTATTAATATTATGTTATTTGATACGAATATATTTAGGACAGTATTTTTTTCTTTTAAGTAGTTTTAAAGTCATCTTGATATTCAAACGAAAATGATATTAGTTTGGGGATTGCAATCTCGGACTGGAATGTAATATTGAGGAAGCTGAGAGCCCAAACACTAACACTGGCTAACAACTTGAGTCTCTGGAACACACTGCAGCGGCCACTGAGTGTATTTGTAAACGTAGAAAATTTGAGCCGTAAACGTACATGTAACATCCCATGTTTACTACAGTACACTATACTATGACAGTATACCTTAAAATAGGATTAATTTACTAATTGGATTATTATTTAAAGTAATATTATCATGGACATGATTTTTCTCTAATCCCGTGTTGAGTAACAACCATTATTTCCACTCAACAAGTGGTTAAAATCTAAATTGCTTTTGTTCAGCCTTGCCAAGCAATTAATATTGCGAAACAGTATACATTAAAACTCATCAAAACCAACAAACCCTTAGCGAGATAAATACACCTCTGAGAATTTGCATTTAAAATTGTTTAAATCTAAAACGTCCAATGAAAATAATTTATTTACATAGTTCAACATTTAGATTTTAACCATGATACTAGGTTAGTTTTCTATTTTTCATTGGCACTAGTGCTGTATTCATAAGATTGTAAACTGCAATAAATTGCAATGGTAAGGGGGTGGATTTTTTTTTGTGTAATACGAATTTAAGTTGTATAGTTGGCTTTACTGTTCATTATTCTCTCTAAGTCGTAATAGGTAACTTTAAATATTATATGAAATAGATAATTAGATAGATAATAATAAATATTAAATAGAAAATTAACAATATAGAATGATTTGTTCGCCTACTTTGATCCTTATTGTTTTCCAAACAAATCTATAGTCCTGGCCAATTTACTACTTAAAATTTGTGTGAGCCCATTTCAATTCTGTTTCTGATAAATTTGGATTCACTATATTATTTTCATTAGCACTTAATTTTTTTTTGTGAATTTCTTCTCTGGTTTTCAAGTGTTTTGACAAAATTTGGACCACTTGTGAGGAAAAAATTTGTAATTAATATTATTTAATAATTTGTCTAAAATCTTTGGACATTTTATAGACTGCCTGCATCTTATCAATTCGTAACATAGGCACTAATTAATAGACCTATATTCTGGTCCTATTTACTCTATGGTTGGCGCCCGCTGGGAGGCTATATGATGTGGTTGTGAGGCTAGTATAGCCGTCAACTGTAGGCGGGCGTTGATTAATTATTGTGGCCTACACTAAATATAGCAGGTGTATATCCTTTGTGGCTACAATTGTGAGTATAACAATAATATGCGCATACTTAAGGGATGTATATAGTTTAGTGCCTTTAGATGATATATTTGAAACAAATAGGCTTATGTTGATCTAAATCTTAAAATCTCTATTTGGAGAAAGTCAGCGAAATGTTTTCTTCTAAACTCTCAACAATAAAATTATTTAGTCTTTCATCAAAGCATTTTTCAGAAAACTAAAGTCTATTTCACTCCATAGAAATATTGGTAAGTATCTTCCTTCAAATAAAAAGAAATATATATATTTACAAACTCACTCTGAGACTCCAAACGTTGGATATACATTTTTAAGTAATTCTCTGGCGGATTTTTAAATAACCAAGAGGAGATATTAATAAATTTTAATCAATCTAAAAAAAATAAACAACTATTAAATTCTTAGTGTTTATAAAATCAATTAAATGCCTTTAAGTTCTCTAAATCAGTAAAAAATAGGGGTATTCATTTTTATCCATTATAAGTAACAAAGCAACAATAACCATACCATCGAAAACGTTCTTAAGGCTTAGTATATAATTGAAACCAATCAAATTTTTTAAAAGTAAATGGGATAATCAATGAGTAATATATTGATTACCTTACTTAAATTGAAAGTCAAATTAGGTTCAAACTTAAAGTTACGATGGAAGATTGATTGATGAGGACTTAATGAAATGAAAACACCCACGTTTTAAAGTTGTC